ATATATATATATACATGCTTATATACACATATTTTCCTTATTCACCCTAGAGCAGAAGACTTTGTGATTCCATGGAGTAGTTGGGTGGCAGCGAGCTACCAACCCTGTGGAATCGGAGACTTGGTTGCAGTGGCTCGCTCCCGGCTTTTGCGGGTCTCGACATGCACAGGGGTATCCTGGTCTGCTTTGGGTTTGGGGGCCGAGGCTATTGATCTTGCTGGAGTACTAGACTGGGTTTTGGGTTTCGGGGTCTTGGCTGTTCTTCTTACTGGAGCACTAGACCGGATGCCTGGGTACTTTTTTTGGGGCGGTGCTGCTCCTTTAACTTTAGTAGCGGAGAGGGTTCTCGGTATTTTTTGGGGCATTGATCGTGCTGCCTCGGTGCTTTACGTGCCACCTCCTGCCAGCAAGCCTGTCTACGTGCCACCTCGTGCTCTAACGTGCTTGCTCAATCCCAACGTGCCGCATCAGCAATTTTCCGCCCGCAACGTCGTACTACGTGCAAAAAAAAACACCGAGGCGGCAGGCATATATCTTAGAGGCCCGACAAAATGCTTAGAGAAGAATTCCTCGAGGCATCCCTCGAATACGTGCGTGCTCCCTCGATTCCCTAGAATACGTGCCGCCTCGAAAATCGGGCCCAACACCACGGAATTGGAAACCAGTGCACGTGACCCCCCACCCAGACAGAACTCAGGGTTTGCCGAGCCACGCCCCGCACCGCGCCCAGGAATGCCAAAGGCGACGTGGTTCAGTGCCAGGCTGCAGGAACTCGCCGAGTGCCTTGGATGCAACCCAACGTGCCGCCTCAACCCTGAACGTGCCGCCTCAACCCTGAACGTGCCGCCTCGAAACCCAAAGTGCTGCCTCAGCTGTAGTCTAGTCAGGTAGGAGCAATAATGAACATCCTAGTATCCGAGGACCAAGTCTACGGACGAAGCAGAGCAGGCCAAAGCGAATGTTTATCGCAAAATGCAGTTCATCGACCAATGCCTTCGGGATGGCCGGCCTTTGGGGGAAATGGCCCTGACACCCGCATCCTGGGAGGTTCTGTGTTTGCACACAATACTGTGCTGTTGCTTGCTTCGCTTTCTCTCTGCAAATGAAACTTGGTGTCTCAGGATCTGATTGATTCCTTCCGGGCGAGATGCTTGGCGATGTCGATGCCTTTGCGACCGAGATTATTTCCTGCTTCAGAGCCAGCTGCTGCTTCAGAAGCAGCCGAGCCGGCTACCTCAGTTAGTGAAAGTACCCCGGGAAGCACTTACTGCAATTTGCAGACTCTATATCTTGATTGCCGGGCGGCTGTCAAGGGTGTTTTGCAGCTCCACAAGGCTGTGTTTGGATGAAATGCCATGATCTAATCTAAAGTGATGTAAAGTTACCGAACAAATAATTCTGCCAAGCCCCTGCAGCTCGTGGACGACGACGTCCAGGGCCACACGGTTCTCTGGAGAGCCGAGGAAGCCTGGCAAATTATGAAACGGCAAACGCCTTTTCATAATTGGTTCACGAAGATGCAACTTGGATTGTCGTAGCAGGGTTTCCTAACAAGCACTTCGTCACTGCCACACATGTAACAATTGTGTCTAAGGCAAGAGGCTCAGGGAGCCCAATTGGCCGATGCATGGCGAGTGCCACTCAGCAAGCATCTCATTCGAAGACAAGAGTACCGTGGGCACAAGGCTACTGTAGTGCATGACCGGCTACGAATTAGCTTCGATGCTATGACAACGCCCGGTCTGCTATTTTCTGTGCTTTGGCAGCAATATCAAGCGGAACAGTCTTGCCACACACGACCATTCGCCATAATTCCCGTTTTCTGAGTCTATGAAATTGCAATGCCCAGGTGGCCTGTGGTTTGCAAGTCCGCGGGTGCAAACCTGAGCTGCAAAAGTCTGCGATGGCGGCTCTGGAAGTGATCACAGGGGTTGCCTTGCCAGCCAATTATGTGTTGGATCTTCTGCCCGGCAACGATGAATGAGCCTAGGACTGGATTAACTAGATGTTTACCTCTTCAATGACCTAGCCATATTTGTGTGCCGACACCAAAGCTTAGGCTCGATTGAAATCAAAGACCACCAGGTCGACCTGCAAAGCTTTAAACTTTTCCTGGACTGCACCGACCTTACTTGGAGGCTCTTCTTCTACCCTAATAAA